CATCCTACCAGGTTTGCTCTTTTACAGACCGTGTCAGTCTACAGCTCTGGCTATGATCTACCCAGGCATGGTGCCAGTGGCACACGCCTTTAATCCTAGCACTCGGGGCAGATGCAGGTGTATCTCTGTGAGTCCCAGGCTATGGTCTAGTTCCAGGCCAGCCAAAGAGTTACATCGTAAGATCTTGTCTCAAAAAACAAAAATAACAAAAAAGAAAACCCTAGCACAGAACACAGTCACACACACCCTCTCCACATGCCAGCACTTTCCAGACCATGACAGAGAGCAGGGCAGAGCCCAGGCCTGCTGGAGCAGTAAGCCGGGTGGGACAGAGGCAGATGCAAAGCATCATTAGGTGACCTAGAGGAGTAGCCAATTCAGACTGGTGGGGGTGGGGGAGATGTACAGCCCATGGACTTAGGAGGAGGAGGATAAGCCTGAAAATGAGGGTCAATGTTCGGGGTGTTTTGTTCCTAGCATTGTGCATGCCTTGCGGATTCCGGTAACTTAAGTGTTAAACTGTAGGATTCTGGTCATTCTAGGGGCCTAGGACATGACACCCTGTCCAGCTTGAGAAGCCCTAGGGCCCGGGCATGGTCAAGAATTCCTGGTGACACTGAAGCACTAAATGGCTGCAGAAGAGTCCAGCCAAGGAGCGAAAGGGCGGGATTAGCCAGCTGGCTGGGAAGGAAAGTGGGTGTGTCAGCATGGGATGCGCTGATTGGACGGAGTGAAGGACAGGCTCAGGCGAGGGCAGTAGACACAGGAGGGACTGGACAGGAGGCACTGTAGACAAACCTTTCCCAATACTCAGGCTGCCTTGCTTAACCTACCTTCACATTCTCTGAAAGCTACCTGAACACACATGGAGTTTCACAATCAACATGCATGCTCCCAGCTTGTCAACGGTCCTGACACGTACTAAAATTCTAGGGTTGAGAAGCTGCCTATATAGCCAGGGTCCTCCCATAGGTAGGGCTTACAGGTGCTAGGCTCGGGTTGGGCTTGTTAGGTTAGACTAAGGTCAGATTGAAGGAGTCAAGAATTGAGAGGGGTATGGAATTAGGGGTCAGGCGAGCAGTGGAGGTGGGGGCTCCGAAGGAGGAGCAGGATGGGAGGAGCTTCAAGCTAGGAATCTGGGTTTAGGTGTAGGGGATGAGTACTCGAACCCAGGGTCTAGGTACTTCAGAGTCAAGCGTTTGGAGTTCATGCTTGTGGAAGTGGGTGTCAGACAAAAGATCTAGAGTTAGGAGAGAAGGTTCCGGGCCAAGAGAGGGTGCGTGCAGGCTGGGGGGTTTAGAGACCAGCCGGAGGCTGTGGGTGGAGAGTCCACCCAAAGTGGGGTGACGGACTCCGCCGTTGTCCGCACTCACCCGAGGCGAAGCGCCGGAGTTCGGCACAGCGGACCGAGGACAACAGTGAGCTGCAAGCTCGGGGTAGCAGAGCACGCAGGGCCGCCATGGCGTAGAGAAACTAGTCCGGCCGGCAGAATCGCCCCGCCTTCAGAATCGCTCCGCCCCAGATCCCAGGCTAGAGGGAGTCGGAAGCGGAAGGGACTGACCCGGTGATGCCTGGGCGGGGTGATGCAGTGGGCGGGCTGGGGAGGGGGACGCTGGTGTGGGGCTGTAGTTCTTTGAGTAGGCTACTAATTGCACTGCATTGGTGGTGTGCCAATGGCTGGTACCAGGGCAAAGGCTGGAAGAGCCAACTGTGACTTTTTCCCTGAGCTCGCCGTGTGCTGTCGGTCTTGACCGCTAGAAGGCGCGACTGTAGATGTAGCCGTAGAGCATAAAGCGGTAAAGAGGTGGTTTTCTTTAGTTTTGTGACACTACATAGCTCTGGTTGACCTGGAACTCTCCATGTGAGCCAGGCTGGCTCCTGGTTTCACAGAAATCTGTCTGCCTTTGCCTCGCAAGTGCTGGGCTTAAAGGCATGTGTCACCATACCCCGCTCGAGAGGCATTCTTTACGTGCCAGCTAACTAGCTTCATGATACCAGTTTAGGAATAACTGTGTTTTTACAAGATGAAAAGATTCGCATATATTTAAAAGAAAGCCGAGATTTTGTTCACGTAAATTATCTTGAATTATAACTTGGAAATGTTTAGCAAGTATTAATCCGTCCCTTATTTGAATTCTTGCCCTGGCCTTGCAAACGCTAGGATAGAGATAAATGGCAGCACCTACAGACAAAAGCAAAACTGCGCCTGGTGGTGGTGGCTCATGCCTTTAATCCCAGCACTTGGAAGGCAGAGGAGGTGGATCTCTGTGAGTTAGAAACCAACCTAGGCTATGAGAGCGAGTTTCAGGACAGCCTCCAAAGCCACAGAGAAACCCTGTCTCGAAAAACCACAGGGAAAAAAAGAAAAGAAAAAGAAAAAAAAAACCCTGATAATTTAAAGAAAACAGTTCGAACCAAAATAAAGTCAGCAAACTTTATTTCAAGAACAGAAACAGAAACAGATAACTCACAAACCTTTGCTGATGAGGGTCTCTATATTACCATAGGCCAAGCTATAGTGACAATAGTTCAGAAGTGAAATGGCTCACACGCAGGGTTTATCTAGCAACACAGGGCTGGTGTTGAAGTCAGGTGGCTACTGTTCTCTGAGTTTAGAAGAGAGTATTGTGCCAGGCGTTGGTGGCGCACGCCTTTAATCCCAGCACTCGGGAGGCAGAAGCAGGTGGATCTTTGTGAGTTCAAGACCAGCCTGGTCTACAAGAGCTAGTTCCAAGACAGCCTCTAAAGCCACAGAGAAACCCTGTCTCGAAAAATCAAAAAAAAAAAAAAAAAAAAAAAAAAAAAGAAGCAGCAAAAGAAGAGAGTATTGTATTTGTCAGGGTTCTCTAGAGGAATAGTACTAATAGAATATATATGTATATCCACATATTTACATGTAAACACACGCACAATTAGAGTGGCTTACAGGCTGTGTTCCAGTTAGTCCAACAATGATGGTCACCTGATGAAAAGTTCAAGAATACAATAGTTGTTCAGCCCACAAGGCTGGAGGGCTCAGTTGGTCTTCAGCTTAGTAAGAATCCAGAAGAAGTAGGTTCTAACATCAGCAAGGGAATGCCTCAGCATCAGGAGGTATGAACTGGCCAGCGAGAATGAGGGTGAACAGGCAGAAAGCAAAAGCTTCTTTCTTCCATGTCCTTTATACAGGCTGCCATAAGAGGGCGTGGCCCAGATTTAGGGTGATCTTCCTACCTCAAATAATCCAATCAAGAAAGAACAAAACAAAACCAAAAAAACCCTCACGGATGTGCCCTGCAATGTAGTCATATTTGCCATCAAGAATAACCCTCCCAAATATCAATTGGACATTACCAAAATTAAAACTTCCGTTTCAAAGAAAACCATCAAGACTGAGGACACAAGACACAGCTGGATGAGAGAAAATTCTCTGGAAGTCTAACATCTGGGAAAGGTCTTATGTGTAGAATATATAACACGCTCTAACAACCCAATAGTAAGAGACAACTGAACAACAAAGAACAAAGGATGGGCGTGCATTTCTTCACAAAAGATGTGCTGTCTGAGGGATATGAGAAGGTATTGGGCATCACTAGTCTTTAGGGATACAAATCAAGCCCACTTCATACCTACGAGGCTGACTGCAATAAAAAGTCATCAGTGAGTGTGGGAGAGCATGTTGAAAAGTTGGAGCCTTCGACATTAGTGGCATTGTGGGACTCTTTCTGGAATAAGCACGCTGGACACAAATGAGAGTGGAGGAGAGATGATGTCGCCAGTGGACTGAAAGCAGGACAACTCCCGGAAGGTCTAGTTTGTATTCTCACGTAATACCCTAAGACCACAAGGTGGGCGGGCAAGTGGGATTTTACAGAAGTCTATGCGGCAGTCAGCAGGTTGTTGGGGGCAATGACCCATTGTTTCAACTATTTCTCTAGGTCATTCTGTTTCAGGTAGCAATTAAAGTCATGCTTGGCAATAGAAGCAATGCATTTAAGTATTTCACTAAATAAATCTATATCTAATAATTGGTCTTTCCTACCTTATTCCACTTCGGTGGTGGGAGCATAAATTGGTTTGATCACTTTGCCTTTCTTAGGTATGTGTGTGTACATGTTGTTGGAGATTGAACTCTAGCCTTGCACTTCATGTTACAACCCCCAGGCCTAAGGAAAGCCACTTTGGAAAACAGTCTGCCATTTGTCTCAAAAGTTAAAACAGCAAACCCACTCCTAGGTGCATACTCAAGAGAAATGAAAACAGCCTCACAGCAGCTTGTAGGTACTTAAGCAGCACTAGCCACAAGGACCAAAAAGTAGAAATAGCCTAAATGTCCTTCAAACATTCTAAGTTTGTATAATAGACACCTTAGATTTCTTTTAGGACAAGGTCTTCTATACAACCCTTGCTGGCTTGGAAGCTGCCTATCTTTGTCTCACAAATGCTGGCATTAAAGGCATGTGGTACCACACCGGGCTAGTGGATGCCTTTCAATATGCTGGAATGAATATACTGTGGAGACTGAAGGTATAGCTCAGTGGTAACATTCTTGCTTAGTGTGCAGAAATTCCACCCTCCCAACATGGCATATATATGAAGAAAAGGAGTAAATACTGATACACAGTGTAATGTGGAGAATCCTTGAAAGCATCACGATCAGTGGCAGCCATAGCAGAGGCTTCATTATATCTAACTCTTTATATGAGTCATCCAGAATAGGGTGATGAAAATATTTTGAACTTGTTGGTGACTGTACAACTCTGCCAGTATGCTGAAAGCCACTGGCTTGAAGATATCATGCGGGTGAAGTGCATGCAAATTTTATATTGATAAAGCTTTCTTTAAAAAAACAAAAGGGGGAGGGACGAAGCCGAGCCGCTGAACCGCCACCAGGTCCGCTCCTGCTCCACGCTGCCCGTCGCGCCGCCGCCGGCGTCCTCCTCCTCCTCCTGCTCCTCCTCCTCCTCCTGCTCCTCCTCCTCCTCCTGCTCCTCCTCCTCCTCCTCCTCCTCCTCCTCTTCCTCTTCTTCCTCCTCCTTCGCCAACGCCGCCGCTGCCATGGGAGTGCAGGTGGAGACCATCTCTCCTGGAGACGGACGCACCTTCCCAAAGCGCGGCCAGACCTGCGTGGTGCACTACACGGGAATGCTTGAAGATGGAAAGAAATTTGATTCTTCTCGGGACAGAAACAAGCCTTTTAAGTTTATGCTAGGCAAGCAGGAGGTGATCCGAGGCTGGGAAGAAGGGGTAGCCCAGATGAGTGTGGGTCAGAGAGCCAAACTGACAATCTCCCCAGATTATGCCTATGGAGCCACTGGGCACCCAGGCATCATCCCACCACATGCCACTCTGGTCTTTGATGTGGAGCTTCTAAAACTGGAATGACAGAAGTGGCCTCCTCCCTTAGCTCCTTGCACATGGATCTGCCATGGAGGGATCTGGGACCTCCAGACGGGTGCACATGAATCCATGTGGAACTTTTCCTGATGTCCCACCACTCTTTGTATAGACACCTACGCGACTGAATGTGTTCTGTCACTCAGCTTTGCTTCGGACACCTCCATGTCCTCGTCCCCTTCTGTATGTGTGTCGACCTAAACTATGCCATAAACCTCAAGTTATTTTGTTTGGGGGTGAAGATTCAGTTTCAGTCTTTCAGGTCTAGGTTTCCAATGAAGTATATTGTCAAGTATTAACAGCACAAGCTATGGGTTAACTTTAGAATAGGAATTGGTGTTGGGGGTGGGATTTGCAAGAATTTTTATTTTATTTTTTTGGATGAAAAAATTATCTATTATATATTAAGACATTCTTGCTGCTGTGCTGCAAAGCCATAGCAGATTGGAGATGCTGTTGAGGGCTGGATTTTTCCAGTGAGGGAGGTCCTGTTAAATTGAAAGCCCTACCCAAACTGACGTCAAAAGGAAGGAGCAAGCCTTTGCTTCTGACAGTCCTCCCACCTTCTGAAGCCGTCTGCCTTTTAAAGCAGGTCCCTTTACTGCTGTGTTGGACACTACAGAACCTGTCCCTGGTCAGCAGGGACCTCTGAAGCCTTCTTTGTGACCTGGCTTAACTTGTTTTTCATCCTATGGTTTTTCTAATGAATTTTCAGAACTTTTGTAATCTTGTAACTATCCAAGCTCCACTTCCTAAATTTTAAGAACTTTAATGGAAAGTTTAAATTGAAGGTGCTGTTTGTAGACTCACCACCCAATGGATGCCCAGCCATCACTACAAATCCTTGAGTGTTCTCTAAGAAAATGATGCTGGTCATCACAGCTTCAGCATCTCCTGGGTTTTTGATGCTTTGCTCTCTCTGCTAATCTCAGCTTCCTGGCTTTTTTCCTCCTTCTTCTCACCCTCTGTTCTCCTGTGTAGTGATTTGGTGAGAGAAAGTATGCTTTTGTCCCCTGCCCTCTGCACCACATATGCGTTTCAAGTTTTATTATTGCAATAAAAGTGCTTTATGCTGGCTTTTCTAAAAAAACAAAAAAAACCAACAACAACAAAAAAACAAAAGGGAACAAATCTGATCTGGTTAAGTAAGATGGGTGGTGTCATCTGTGTTGTCAAACATGGCCCTCCTGCCTTCGGACAAGCATGTGACTATATCTGCCTAGTCTACAGACATCTGTTTCTGAGCATGTGACTACCCCAGCTGCAGGACAGCCTTTTGATTCAGACTGTGGTGCTACATCTAGTGGACAAGAAACACTACTGTCCCTGCCCTGTACTTCCGGAGGCCCAAAGTGTTACTACCACGCAGTGTGCTCAAAGTTTCTATCTCAGTTTTCCTGTATCCCAAAGAAATTTACCATAGGAATTGGTAAGTGAAAGTAGATGTATTTGACTCTGACTCTCCTGTAGCAGGGTTACTATTGTACAGGAAAGGTCAGGCGTTGTGGGGCACACAGCAACCAACCAACTAGGGAAGTTAGGAAGGAGGGTCAGGAGTTCAAGATCAGTCTTGCCTATATAGCAAGTTTAAGGCTCGCCTGGACTATATGAGCCCTCCCATTTAGTCCCTCCCAAACAAAAACAAACAAACAAAAAAAACCCATTGTTTTAAAGAAAAGATGAAAGAGAAGCCAGAAAGCATACACAATAACTGAGACAGGTTAACCTATCCAGTCTGTGCTTGAAGGGAAGGGCACTTGGGCCCCAGGCTGTTCCCTGTTAACTGAATTTCTAAAGCTCTCTTATTTATCTTTGAACAGCTTCACACATATAAATGATGTATCTTGATTATATCAATCCCTAACTCTCTTTCCCACTCTCCAGACACCTTCCCTTTCACTGCCTCACCTCCTTTTTATATTCCACTGTGTCCAGTTAACGCTGGCTATTAGAATGTTGCTAGATCTTGGCTTGACTCTTTTATAGGTGAACTGTTCACGAATACAGTGGCCATGTCATGTCCAGCAGACAGTATCCCATAGCACTCCTCTCCATCCTCTGGTTGTTACATTTATTTTTATTTTAAAATGTTTATTAGTTTTTGATTTATGTGTGTATGTATACCATGTCTGCATGGGTGCCCATAAGCTGGAGGGTGGAGATGGATCCCTGCAGCTGGAGTTACAGGTGCTTGTGAGTCACCAGATGTGGGTGCTTGGCTGGGAAGTGAAGTCCAGTCCTCTGGAAGACTAATGTGTGACCTCTCTTACATTCTTTTCCTTCCCTCTCCTTGATGTTTCCTGGGCCTTGAATGTGTGTGTGGGGGCAGGGTATGACACAGATGCTCCATTCAGTGCTGTCACCTATTATCAGCACTTGGGCTAGTTGTGAGTCTCTGCATTAATTGCTGCCCACTGCAGAGGAAGCATCTCTGGCCAGGGTTGAGTGCAGCATCAATCTGTGGGTGAAAACATAAACATAAGCTGGTGCAGTGGTGGCGCACGCCTTTAATCCCAGCACTTAGGAGGCAGAGGCAGGCGGATCCCTGTGAGTTGGAGTCCAGCCTGGTCTACAGAATGAGTTCCAGAACAGCTAGGGCTACTCAGAGAAAGCTGTCTCAAAAACAAAAACAAACAAAGCATAACAAAAAACCCAAGCCAACCAACCTAACAACAGCAAAACAAAGCCCCAAAACCAAACAACAACAACAAAAAACCCACAGCAAAAAAAAAAAAAAAATGCCCGAACACAAACATTTAGAAGCCAGTTTGACAACATGATGATTTAGCAAAACCGAAGGGCCCAAGACCTCCTAAACTTTAGATCTTGTTTACAGTAACAAGTATGAATTCCCTCCTTTAATCAAGTTGGTTATCTTTATAACCTGTGTACAACCATTGGGCCAGCGGGCACATCTTACTTGGCAGGCCAGTATTGTAGTATGCGTAATACCACAGACGACTTTTCTCCTACAGCAGCATGCATATCAACTTTTGGCACTATGAAAACTAGCCAGCTGGAAGGAAGTTTTTGTGTCAGTTCCAACTTGGTTTTCTATGTCCCGCAAAACCAAGTTGTTAGCAGAAGTTTTAAGATGGGGTAGGGGAAATGGTGGGTACGAAAGGCTGGCATTTTGAGTGAACCAGGTCTGGTGGAGTTCTTTGCCTCTGGGTCCATTTCTTTGATAGCTGTAGGGCAGGATGCCTTTGGTATCTTTTTTTTTTTTTTTTAGGTCAGCTTCAGCTCCCAACTTCCAAGGTCCTGTAAACACACCAACTTTGCAAGTGAACAAGGGTGGTGTTCTAATAGCTGAGTGAAGGGCACATGCCCCCTGCTCTTTAGAATAGACTTTCTCCAGAAAGGGATTCGTGCACAGGATCATGATTCCCATCTGTGCCAGAGCCATCGCCCCTTCTCCGCAGCACGCAATCAGCGCATTTGTGGCATAACCTGTGCTTGCTCTGAGAGTGTGGATCGTGTGAGTGGGGCGAAGACAATTTTGTCCCTCAGCTATGAGTGCTGCTCTAGAGGAGCTTGGCCAAAGCAGCGTTCTCACCTTACAGGATCCCTGTCTTAACACTTTGAGTAAGAATGGAGGTACAGGACTATACATCTAAGCTGGTTCCACTGTGAGCCGATACCCAGTGGAAAGGAGACTAGAGCTAGGGCACACTCTCTTCCTTTTTATTTTTTAATTATTATTATATTTTTAATTTTTAGCACTTTCTGCTTATATAGGCCAGGAAGGATGCCTCCCAGGATGTATGCCCCTGGAAGGCCAAGTACCTCTGTTGGGATGCTGGCTGACTTTGTCCAGTGGCAGCCACACCCACACCACACCCCTCTTAGGGCGACTCTGAGCGGGCCTAAACATGAGGGGCGCGGCTCAGAGCACCTGGAGCGCATCCGGGAGCCACGAGCCTATGTGGAGGATACAGTGCAGGTCGCGGGACATCCACATCCCTCTCCTCCGGTCCAGTTCCGAATGTTCATCTAAGGATGCCTGGACCTCTCTGGCCTGCCGCCTGGTCCCTCCGGCTCCCCATAGGCCCCGCCCCTCGGCCCACCTCCAACCCCACGCACCCTCTCTCACTCCTTTCCTACATAGCTCCACCTTCTTCCCCGCCTCTGGTCCCTCCCGCCCGCCTCCGTGGGACAGTCTAGGGCCACCGGTCGCTGGAAGACCCTGAGCAAGCTATGGCGTCCGGCAGCCCGCGGGTGCTGGTGGTGGGCGGCGGCATCGCGGGGCTGGGCGCTGCGCAGAGACTCTGCCGCCACCCGGCTGCTCCACACCTGCGGGTCCTGGAGGCCACCGCCGGCGCCGGGGGCCGCATCCGCTCGGAACGCTACTTCGGTAACCGCCCCTTGGGCCCCTTGACCTACCCCAGACCCTATCCGACTGATCCAGGAAGGCTTTTCCGGCTCCTCGGGGAAAGGGACACACACCCACGTTCACCGGGCCCCGAAAGTCAACTGTCCAAAGTTAGGAGAGTACACTACAGGGAAGGCAACCTAGGGTCCTGCAGTTCCTTGCTCAGACCTGGGGGTTCCTCTCGGTTTCTCTTTAAGTGTCCTCCGAAGCCGATACAGGCTGACTTGCCCCTCCCCAGGAGTTCCCTAAGCCTGTTCTGACCAAGCCTTGCCTTTGGGAACCACTTGACTCCTGGAATACAATGGGACCGTGTGACTCTCAAGATATCCTGGAGAATATGCCTGGGAAAGGGTGGGGTTGATTTTTCTGGGGAGGGAGCTTCCAGGTAGCATTTCCTGTACCCTCCTAGGTGGTGTAGTGGAGCTGGGTGCACACTGGATCCATGGGCCCTCCCAGGGCAATCCTGTCTTCCAGCTGGCTGCAGAGTTCGGGCTCCTGGGGGAGGAAGAGTTATCAGCGGAGAACCAGCTGGTGGAGACAGGAGGGCACGTGGCCCTGCCCTCCGTGAGCTGTACCAGCTCTGGAACACGTGTGAGCCCGGAGCTGGTGACAGAGATGGCCAGTCTGTTCTATGGACTGATAGACCGGACTCGAGAGTTCCTGAATGCCACTGAGACTCCAATGGCCAGCGTTGGAGAGTTCCTCAAGAAGGAGCTAAGTCAGCAGGTGGCTAGCTGGACTGAGGATGAGGACACGAAGAAACTCAAGCTGGCTATCCTGAACACCTTCTTCAACATAGAATGTTGTGTGAGCGGCACCCACAGCATGGACCTGGTAGCCCTTGCACCGTTTGGGGAGTACACGGTGCTCCCGGGGCTGGACTGCACCTTGGCTGGGTATGGGTCACAGTAGTGTCAGTTCTTCCCATCCTGTCTGGGCAGAGGCACTAGACTGGAGAAAGGAGGGAAAAAGGGAGAGAGGAGGCCCAGATTGGGGCAGGTGAGGGCACTGCCCTCCCCATTCAGAGAACATGGTTGCTTCTTCTAGCTTTGTTTAAGCAAGAATATTCCTAGGGAATTGAGAAGGAAATATCTTGAATGCTCATTTCTTCTGATTTTCCTGGGGCCTCTCATGTGCCAGGTGTTACACAAGGGGCTTCAGGTGCCGAGGAGCTAGGCAGGCCCCTCCCCCGTGGCAGGCAGGGCTGTGCCTGTTGCTAGGCAGGTAGACATTTGGCAGGGTTGCCCCCACCCCCATCAAGCTCAAGACTTCAGCTGATAGGCATTTGTGACTCAGGAAGTGAACAAACATGGGGCTGCTGTGGTAGTGGGGAGCACTAATTCTCCTGTGACCTAGTCAGTTTTGTGACCCTCTTTAGCCAAAAGGTAGATGTAAATGGTCCTGCTTTTGAAGGGGTTACCCCACTTCCAGGCAGTCTTCCCCTGCCTCTTTTTCTGACTTTGAGTGATGCTTCCATTGAGGCTGGTGGCATCTTGGATGACTTATTTCTGCCAGTTACCCCTCTGGGGCTGGTTCACCACACATCAACTTCTCTCTCTCCTAGTGGTTACCAAGGGCTTACCAACTGCATACTGGCTTCCTTGCCCAAGGATTCGATGGTTTTTGACAAGCCGGTAAAGACCATTCACTGGAACGGGTCCTTCCAGGAAGCTGCTTTTCCAGGAGAGACCTTCCCAGTGTTGGTGGAGTGTGAAGATGGTACCCGCCTGCCCGCCCATCATGTCATCGTCACCGTGCCCTTAGGTAGAACTCACTTTTTCTGAACAAGCTTTCTGTCTATATCCCTATCGGCTTTTAGTTTTTCTTGTCCTCCCTTGGCTCTGGGTGTTTGCTGAACCGTTGAGTTCATTGTTGCATTGTAAGGATTTTCAGATGGATGAAAGTACTTTATCATATTTTGTAGCAGACATAGCCCTTCTGCCTCAGCCTCCTGGGTGCTAGAGTTACAGGCGTGAGCTGCCATGCCTGGCTGATACTTTCTTGTATAGAGATGTCATTATTACTAAATACCAGTGGAAGTTTAGTAGTTCTCACTTCCCTGTTTCACATGGTGTTTACTTGTAAATTTCAAAGTGCTTGTGTGTGGCCACATCTTCATAGATGGAGGAGTGATTTGTTCTTGAAGATATAGATGGAATCTACTTCTCTCTCCCTGCCTCCTGTGTATGGGGAAATTGTCCCTGCCATTGGCCTGGTTGTGGCTTTGCTGGCTTCCTGTTGTACTGATTTCTTTTCTTCCTTTTTTTAGTTTTAATATTTTATTTTGAGACAGGGTCTCACCATGTAGCCCTGGATGACCTGGAACTCACTGTGTAAACCAGGCTGGTGTCAAACTCAGAGATGCACCTGTTTGTGCCTTCCAAGTGCTGGGATTAAAGGTCTTGCTCTTCCTTTCCTACTGGCTTCAAGCAAATGGTTTCTCCTGTGTTTGACTTTTTTAGTTGTCTGACTGTGGGCTATTTTTTTCTACTTAGGCTCATCTAAGTGTATTCAGTGGCAGAGTGCTTACATGTATGAAGCCCGAGGTTCATTTCTAGCACAGTAAATGCCAAAACAAGCCTTTTGGGTAAAATTTGTGCAGCAACTACTACAGACTGACCCTGAGCAGTGGGACTGGTGTTAGAAGAGATGGTCAGGAGTGAGATGTCTTTACAGAGTCCTACTTAACTGTCCCTCTGTGACAGAGGAGTCTGTAGTATCTATTCGGTAGCAGTCAACCTTGAGTCCTGATGGTCCAGCCTTTGGAATTTGTCTCCAGGGACATGAATGAATGAGATGTTTAGAAGTCCTTTGTGCAATCAGATCAGGTTCCTGTCGATATAGATTCTAGTTACAACCCTTCCTGCCTGCCTGTCCATTCCAAACCTTCTTTTTTAAAGATTTTATTTATTTATTATGTATACAGTTCTGCTTACATGTATGCCTGCAGGCCAGAAGAGAGCAACAGATCTCATTACAGATGGCTGTGAGCCACCACGTGGTTGCTGGGAATTGAACTCAGGACCTCTGGAAGAGCAGCCTATGCTCTTAACATCTGAGCCATCTCCCCAGCCCATTTTTTGCTTTTTTAAAGCAGAGTCTTAAGATGTAGCTCTTCCTGCCCTAGAACTTATTATGTAGATCAGGCTGTCCTCTAACTGACAGAGATCCTCCTTCCTCTGCCTCCTAAGTGCTGGGAATAAAGGCATGTACCACAAGACCTATCTTAAACCACATCCAATTCTGAATTTCAGGTTTTCTCAAAGAACATCAAGACACTTTCTTTGAGCCACCACTGCCTGCCAAAAAGGCAGAAGTCATCAGAAAAATAGGCTTTGGTACCAACAACAAAATATTTTTGGAGTTTGAGGAGCCCTTCTGGGACCCCGACTGCAAGGCCATCCAGGTGGTATGGGAAGACACATCACCCCTACAGGACACAGCCCTCTCACTTCAAGACACCTGGTTCAAGAAGCTCATTGGCTTTTTGGTCCTGCCTCCCTTTGAGTATGTATGCATCAGGGAGCTCTTGGGAAGCTTTCTCCTACTCACAAGTCTTAGTCTTTTGGAGGACACAGTTGTGTTTAGTTCATTGCCAGTGTTTCTGAGGGTTTAACTGGAGGAGGGGCATGTAGATAAAGACCAATGTAAATGGGTGCAGAAACATCTGAGATTCCTGTGTCTTCTATTAGGCCAAATAGCAAGGGTCTGGGAAGGAGCAAGTCTCGGAACACCTTATCTCCTTAGCATCTCAGCAGACAAGAGAGCGATTTCCTGTTTCCTTCCTGCTTATAGCCTGTTTCTGCCCAGCTACCTTACTTCCTGTCTGTCTGTACAAACCTTCAGACCTCTTTGGTTAGTTAGTGGCAAGCTCCATTCTCTGACCCTCAGACAGGCTTTATTTGTACAAGCAAGATATCACCTCAACAAGCAGAAGTCTGCCACCTTTTTAATTCAATTTGTTTGAGACAATATGCCCCCTCTGCCATGGATGTATGTATATATGTGTGTATGCTTACTGTGTGTGGAGGCCGGAGGCTGAATTCAGGGATCTTTCTCTATCATTGTCTACCTAGTTTTTCAAGACAGGGTCTCTCGATGAGCCTAAAGCTCAGTCACTGCCTTTTACCTCCACAATTTGTGTCATTCAGAAGTGTAGAAATGTCAAAAGTTAAGTTTATCAATATCACCACGGATATCTGAAGACTGTCAAGAGTGTGAAGCTGCCACACCGTTGGCGACATATACAGCTTTGCTGAAATTCTGGGTTTTGCTTGAGAGCTTAAATTTCATTGTTATTAATGTATGCTGTGCACTTCCTTCCGGAATCTGCTCAGTATCATGGTTGCCTAGGTGTCTTTGTGGGTAAAGAAGAGGTACGCAAAGGAAGTGCTAGGCCAGTTGGCCCGAGACTCACGGACAGCACCCCAAAATTTCTTTCTGCCTCTTCTCATTTCTTCACACAGACATAGAAGCATGCACTCAAGGGCTAAAATTTAATAAAATCAGTCACTTTTACTACTTCATCAAGGACCTTTCTGAGTGAAATCAGCCCCCCTCCCTCCCCAAATGTGCATGGTGGTGAAGAACGCAGAGCCAGCTGTTGTGGCTTGTTGAGATTTCCATTATCTGAGGAACAGTTTAAATGCTCTTCTCTTCCGCATTGGTTCAAGTGACAATGTGGAAACAGCACATGCTGCCTTAGGATTGTGAAAATAGCTGGCCCTGGAGAACCCTGGGGGACTCCTATTCTGGGTGGTGCTGGCCCTGGCAGAGTGGGTTGTGGCCAGCAGACCCATCTCCATCTTTCTGTGCACACAGGTCTTCACATGTGCTCTGTGGGTTTATTGCTGGGCTCGAGTCGGAGTTTATGGAGACTCTGTCGGATGAAGAAGTACTTCTGTCTCTAACCCAAGTACTTCGGAGAATGACGGGTACGTCCCAGCAATATGTTCTTATTGGCCAGTCTCTAAACAGGAAGTAAACTTAGAACAGAGAAGAGTGAATTCTGCTCTGTATATTTCCAAGGCAGATTTCTTCCTGGGCAGTGGGATAGTAATGGTTTGCAAACACTCCCTAATTTTACTTTCTAAAATCTTCCACCCAAAATACATGCAGTTGTCCCTAGTTAGGTGCTTTCAGGTAGGAAAACTGAGGCTCAGAAGGGCGTGTAGTTCAGTTTCACAAGGCATCTCATGGTATTGCTTATTGGCACCAGCTGTCCCTGTGTGGTGCTGGCAGAGCAGCTGAGACAGGATGCCTCTTAGGAAAACACACTGATTTGGTTTTCTTCCAGGTTAGTGAGAATTCTGGGTTAACATGCCATATCTCTCTGTTTCAGGAAACTCACAATTGCCAGCAGCTAAGAGCGTGCTGAGGTCTCGTTGGCACAGTGCCCCATATACCCGAGGTTCCTACAGCTATGTGGCCGTTGGCAGCACTGGCGATGACCTAGATGTGTTGGCTCAGCCCCTCCCTGCGGATGGAACTGGTACCCAGGTATAGTGGCCTGCCTTGGTATGTATGAGGCACTGGAGATCCTGCTGTTAACGAAGGCCTAGAGATGATATGGTGTGCGTGATGGGTGGGGCAGAGACCTCAAAGACTCAGAGCCATTTTCTTTTTGAAAAGAAGAGTAACTTAGCCACACAGGTCCTTCCCACTGCCAACAAGATAGGCCAGAAGGTCAACACAGTGGGAGCTGGCAAGAAGCAGAGGCTCGTGGGAAAACCAAAAATGTGTGTAAGAAATCAGAGCCCTCAGCCTGTAAGATTCAGAACAGCATTGCCTCCCTTGTCAAAAGGAAGACAGCAGCCATGGTCCACACTGAGGCAGTTGTTCAGGGGGCTAGGTGGTTACACAGACCAAAGCCCCTCTCCCTCCCAAGGACACGGGACACAAAGCACAACCCATACCCAGGAGACCCCTGAGAACCCCAAAAGGCCTGAGTTACCCCCCCCCCAAGACCTCATTCAAGGCTTCCAGCAAGAAGGTCAAGGCTGGTAACTAGGGCCAGGTTTGAGGAGATAGCAACTCAGAGATCTCATTCCCTAACTGTCACAATGTTTAATTATTATTTATCAATAAAGTCTTCTTTCTGTTCACACATTGAAAAAAAAAGAAAGTAAGAGTAACTTAAAATTCAATGTGCTGGCATACATTCATAATCTCAGCACTCAGGAGGCAGAGGCAGGAGGACTATTGGGAGTCCACAGCCAGCCTGGTCTATAGAACAAGTTATGGGCTAGCCAAGGCTAGGAAGATAATGTATATCTCAACAAACTCAAACCCAAATGAAAAACTTAAAATGTGTTACTCATATTTTACATATTCATATTTTACAGCGCTGGCTACAGAAATAAAATGCAGCAAAAGTAGCCAGTAGGAACAAACATCTTCTCCCCAGACTGTGCTTCCTGTTGTTTTTTTTCTTTGTGTTGGGGGTGAAGCCCTGAGCATTCCAGACAAGCACTGTACCACTTACTGACTCCCCACAGCTCTCCATCTGATGTTAACAGTGAAAGCACATGTCCATGCTGTCACATAAAACGTTCAGGTGGGCATGATGGCTCATGTGTCTGTAATCCCAGCTAGAAAGATCCCTTCAGGTTCTAGGCTAGCCTGCTATATGAAGTGAGAGTCAAACTAGCCAGAGCCACATAGTGAGACCCTGTTTTGAAAACAATTTAATTATGGAAGTCATCAATTGTAGAGAAGTAGGTGGAGCAGCAGGTGCTCACCCCTAGCAGGGTCTCCCACTGTCCCTTAACTTACTGAGTATGCCTCCATGCAGACATCTTGGTGTGTATCTATAAGACAGCTACTCAATATCACCTGGCATTCACGGTTCAGATTTCCAGGTGTCTCTTGGTCCCTGTCAGCTTGCTCATTGTCATGTCACCTTTAGATGTAAGCAGCGACTTCTCAGCACTGCATGGTGTATTAGGTTTAGTCCCACTCTACCATGGTAGTTCAGCAACTCTTCTGGTCATGGTTCAGAGCCCTATTACCTGCCTGAACTCACATCTGCCTGGCATGGGCAATGATGTCTTCTGCACATTTGCAGATGGCTAGACAGGGGCTCTGTTTTCTGTGTTTTTCTCCACAGCTGTCCCATTTGCATCCCTGTTCTAATTTGGTCTTTTTCTGCAGCTCCAGATACTCTTCGCTGGGGAAGCCACACATCGGACATTTTATTCCACCACGCACGGGGCCCTCCTGTCTGGCTGGAGGGAAGCCGACCGCCTCATAAGTCTGTGGGACTCACAGGTACAGCAGCCCCAGCCCAGGCTGTGAATGTCTGCAGCTCTGCTCTGTCATGTGGGCTGCCAAGCTCCTTTGTTGGGTGCGTGGTTTTCAGTCTGGTTTGAGGTTTTGGGATCTTACTGGTAGCTTTAATTTTGGGAAACTGATCTAATTTCTCATAACTGTTATTGGAGTCTGGCGTGGTCTGATCATGGATGCCCCACTGCGTTTGCACACATAAAACAGTTGCCACCACCTGTGTCTAGAGTCCTTCTCACACTACATCCAGTTCCCACCCAAGTCCAGGTCCTGTCTGCACCTTCTGTCCCTAGTTCATGGCTTTCCCCTGTGGGTTCTTTGGGCCTTAGGTTGTTACCCTTTGTCCTGTTTTTGAAGGTGTTTCCAGGTTCCCACTGCTCTTTTCCAGGACCACAGTATGGCTAATGAGCCTTGCTTTGGTCACTGACTGATCTGTGTCAGGTACCGTAGAGGGTTATGTTGGATGAATGTGTAGAACTGAGAAGACTGAGTGGGACAGGGAGTGGCATCCTATCCTGGCCTGCCTTCTGGTTTTTTGGAGGTGAAGGAAAAAATATGGAGGTAGGGTAGGAAGGGCGCTGGGGAGCCAGGACATTTTGTAGCCTGTCTCACTGCATCGTCCCAGCAGCTCCAGGTCTGCTGCTCCTGTTACAGAGGAGACACAACACTTAGGCTTATTAACTCCCCACGCCGCGTCTGTCACAAGAGCTCGCACATCTCCTCTGGATGGTGGAGCTGGAAAGGCTGGTGCAACCACTGGGGGGCGCTCCAGAGGGAGCTGTAGAAACTGATGCAACCACTGGGGGGGCGCTCCAGAGGGAGCTGTAGAAGCTGTTCGAGACCCTTGTTCCACCCTTGTACAGCATGGCATTGTCGCTGGCCTCAGGCTCGGGAAGGGCTGCATGTAACCCCGCCTGGCTGTATTAATTAGGCTTCCATTTCAAGACAGCTCCCGGCTCACCTGTTCACAGTCTAGTCCAGCTCTGCTTGGCTCTTTGTTCGTCCTTGAGGTCTTCAAGGCTTGCCTTTCCCCCATCCCACCAGTCTGTCAGGAACCGTGTTACATCATCAAGAACACTTCCTGCTTTATGTCACCAGACTGTCCTTCATGGGCTACCATAGAAGAAAGCCAACTCCAGTAGGTTTGTGTGGTAGTCTGTAGACTGGGGACTACGGAAGAGTACAGAGCCTTCAAGGGCGAAGGTCTTCGCTGCTGACACTCAGGGATGCATTTCAGTTTTCAGACAGAATCAGGTGACTATGTGGGGGAAACAGGCTTGCCAAGGAGGGAGGCCAGGAGGATCTGAGCTGCAGGGAATAGGGCTCCTCCATTGGTCTGACATGCCTGGAGCTTTAAAGTGTGCACACATTTCCCCCCTCTTTCTTTTGAGACATTTCACTCTGTAGTTCAGGCTGGCCTTGGACTTTCTATTCTGCCTCAGTCTACAAGTGCTGGGTGTGTGTGTGTGTGTGTGTGTGTGTGTGTGTGTGTGTGTGTCTGTGTCTGTGTCTGTGTTACTGGGGATTAAACCCAAGGTTTCCTGCATTCATTGTTACATGTCTGCCCTTTTATTTTGAGATAGGGTCTCTCCTAGGGTAGTGCTCTCCATCATTAGCTGGTATTACAGGCCTGTTCTGTTAGGAGCAGCTGCATTTACGTTTAGTCTTTTGACAATGAAGAACACTTCAGGTTCACTGAATTAATGGAATTGTAGTCAGTACTTAGAACAGTTACATTAAAATGTGCCACACTTGAAAGAAAATGAAGGCATTACATATATAAAACATTTGAAAGTTCTAAGAAAGGCCCAAGAACTGATAGGGGACAACTAAATTTCATTACATTGATTTATATGAGGGAAAAATAAGACTTTTTAAAGGCAGGGCATCATGTAGCCCAGGCTGGCTTTGAACTCCTGACCCTCTTGCTTCTATCTCACATGTGCTAGGGTTACTGATGTGTCTCTCATACCTGGCTGAGACTTCTAATTTATAGTTTTCTTTTTAGTTTTTGTAGAAAAGACTACAAAGTGAGATGCTGTCTCAAAAGGAAAAAAGAGAAAAAAAAAGTGCCCAGGTTTTAAGTTTAAACTTCTAGCCTTGTTAGGCCACCGTGGAGGAACCCCATCCCCATTGCCAGTAGCTCAACTCCTCCTCACTTCTCTACAAAAATCTAGAATTTTGGGCATGCTAGGCAAGCCATCATCCTCCAGACTACACCTTCAAACTTGAAATATTTGCAATGTTGAGAAAAATCTCCAGGCTGGGCCTGGAGAGATGGCTTGGAGGTTAAAAATGCTGCTATTTCAGAGGACTGAAATTTGGTTGCCAGCACTCACTGAACAACTCAAAACCACCTGTAAAATTCCAGTTCCAGAGCTCCACTGTCTTCTGGCCTCTGGGGGTACCTGCCTACGTGTGACATACACAGACACTTGAAATAAATATAAATAAATAAAACTAAGTCTTGTTGTTTTTTTCGGTCTCACTATGTAGCTCTTGCTGGTCTGGAATCCACTAGGCTGGTCCCAAACGTTAGAGAGCTACTGTCAGACTCTACGTTGCTGGGATAAAAGTTGTGCGCCACCACAGCCGATATAAAAACAAATGTTACAAAAACTCAATAAGGTCTCTTTAAAAAAAAAAAAAGAAGAAGAAAAAAAACCTTCAAAAGAATCTCAACATGACCTCAGGAATCCTGAGACTAGGGCAGCACGGGACCTGCCCAGGCACGCTGACCCCGCCCACACTGAGGTTTCCAAGTCAAGCGCATGCGCAGTCCCGCACAGAACCCTAGAGCGCCGGAACTGTTGAGAGTAGCTGTAGACTCTCGCGGGGTCGGTCCGTCAGGGAGCGCTTCCGACACCAGCGCTATCAGTGCTATGAGGCTGTGGCCGCAGGCATGGGGTGCCGTCGGGGCCGCTTGGCGCGAGTGCTTCCCTCTGCAAGGTCACGACGTGGCACGTTGGTTCCCCGGCCACATGGCCAAGGGTGAGGCTAAGCGGGAGGCGCGGGCGGCCCGGACGCTGGCCCTGGAGGCCACTTGGGTCGCCTTCCTAGCCTCGGCACGGAGAGTTGTTCTGTGCTTGATACCTTGAGTCGCACTGAGCGGCCCGGTGAAGGCACACGCAAGCCGTTACACCTGAGTAATGTCTGAGTATAGAGGGCACAGTTTGGCCCCAGACAGACACCTGACATAGTGCGTCCTTGGGCTGCTGGTTGCTGTGGTCTTGCTTCCGCTGCCATGCGAGGTGGTAGTGTTGCAGAAAGGCGCCAGGAGTGTGATTGGGAGGGTGGTAGTTGCGGGGCGGAGCCTCGATGTTTTTTATGTGTTGAGGTCATTAAGTCAGCAAAACCTCACGGGCCTCCAGATCAACACCCAAGACTCATATGTGAAGTGTACTGCCCAGATCCACCCAGGGCACTTCAAGGCTCAGCGTGCTGCCTCCCTTAGCCCTGTGTACCCTGATGGGTTCTCAGATGCGTTTCCTTAGGACCATTTAAATCTGCCCCCACTTGGGCTGTTCCTTAGTGCCCTTCTGCCTTCCAGGACTGAAGAAGATGCAGAGCAGTCTGAAGCTGGTGGATTGTGTTATCGAGGTTCATGACGCCCGGATATCCTTTCATGCTGTAGGAGTTTCCTGCACACTCCGTCTCCTTTGGACAATCTAGTCTGCTCTGTCTCAAGTCCAATCTTATGTCTACAGTTGCCGACAGCTTCTTTTGTAATTACTGGCTCATAAAACAGGTGTTTTCCAACTTTCACTACACATCAGAATTACTGAGAGGTTTTCACACCAATTGCTAGCCCCCCCCAATCTCTGGGGGTGGGGTCCAGGTTTGTGTTTTTATTTTTAAGTTCCCATCTGATACAATATTTGTTTCAGCCTCTGTCTGGTTTACTTTGATATTTTTAGGGGTAGATTATGAAACCCAAGATTAAATGGTCCTGCCAACCTGGGCTTTCCTCCTGTCCTTAAGTGAACGATTGACAAGTCATTATCATGTCCATTGCTCCTCAGACCATTTTTGTTGCATTTAAGCTGTGTTTTGTTGCTGTGATGCAGTTGTTGGCATGTGTGTTCTTCCTCATCCTACTTACTCAGCCTGAGAAGAGCATGGAGATGCCAGGCCAATAGGCCCAGATCCTTGCAACAGCTGGTGGTGGATGTGGGGACCTGCTGCCCCTGGTGGGATTCTGGAAATAGTAATGGAGAATGAGGGACTATTTCAGCTTTCAGAGTTGGAACTTTCGAGATAACATATTTGGTGTATTTGTTTTAGGCTATAAATGTCTAGTCACCAAAATATCACATACTGCCACTTTGTGGACCAGGATGGCCTGGAACTCACATAGATCAGCTTGCTGGGATTCAAGGTGTGCACTACCATTCCTGGCTATATTTGATTATTAAAAGGTAAAACATTTTTCAGTATATGTGATGAGAGGACTGCTCTTGTTTAGGCTCTGAAGCGTTCAACTGCTTCTAAGATGTGGCAGCAGGTCTGTGCTAGATAGTGGTTTCAGTAGGAGAGGAGCCTGGAGACTTGGGTTTACGAGTGGATTGGTCAGTTGTGACAGAAGGACCATTTGGGTGGAGATAGCAGTTTACCCAGGTGCCCAGATGGGACAGATGGAAGCCACCTTTGAGACTGTGTACTAGACTCTACTGGGGGGGGGGGCTGAAGGGGCAGACTGTAAGATAAGAAGCCCCATCTTGTCTCTGTTAATGCCACATGATGTAGCCCTGCATCAGCCTGGGGTAGTTGAGGATAGCTGGAAGGAAGTAGCATCTTCAGGAGCCAGGATGGGTGGTGCTCAAGGTAATTTAGTCAGGAATCACATTTTCTTAAGTGTTCAGGTCATTTCATTTTAAACTTAAATTCCCTGGCATCTAAACAGTGGCTTTTCTTATAACTTTGTTTTATTCTTCCCACCATCTGTTTGGGAAGTTAGGTGACAGTGGCCTGTCTGACCAGCTCCTGGCACTCTTCACAGGCCACTTGGGGCCAGGAAGATGGGTTGCACGGTCACACTTGCTCTGAGCTGGGGTTTCTTCTATGGCTTTGGCTCCTGGCTGAATAACGACGGGCGAAGCTCATTAGGGATTTTGCCTTAACATCAGCACATCCCACTCTCAGGTCGAAACCCACTGTTCCAAGAGCTACTTGGTCTGAAGCCTCATTTGCTTGTCCTTAACAAAATGGATTTGGCG